GCACAAAATCTCAAAAAATATTTTGCCAGGATAAAGAAAAAGGAAAAACAATTAATCAGCATCAAATCCTATAAAGCGTGTTTATCCACTTGCCTATTTGCAATATTTTTTTCTGCCCTTTTCATCTTTTTTCTTCTTTCAGAATTTGTGTCTGTGTGTGTGTGTGTGAGAGAGAGAGAGAGAGAGAGACCTCACCAAATCTAATAAAACTGATGTCAACAACCGCCGCCCTTGTTCTTGTCTATCCACAGAAGTTGACATTCTTTTCCATGAAACACGTTTTTGCAGACGTGGTTCAACACTCGATAATTTTTCATGGACAAGGATATATAAGAACTTTACTAAACAAAATGAGAGAGTGCAAATGACTAATATGCATTCAATCCCGACTCCCAACAAATTAACTAGCTAGGGGATAATACAAATACATTACATATTACTTAGACCGACATATCCTAAAAGTGTATATATATGGTAGGTGAAATTACAAAGTCAGGATTCATGTACATACAACGTAGAACAATTGACAAGCAAATGTTAAAGAAAAAGCAATATGTCACCATCAGTATTAACTATGACGAAACCCTCAAAACCGGCTCTTGAGATTATTTAGGGTCATTTGAGGCAATTGTTTGCCCTATACTTTAGGACATGACCTTTTGTGTACGGTTGCATCATATATACATAAGTATTTGTACATATAATAGCCTCGCATGTACATACAAACACGACGATAAGCATTTTATATGTTTTAAATGATGAAACAACTTGCACGACCCCGCATATTCCAATCATGCATGACGAAAAGCTTGAAAAGTTTAAGCCATTTTCTTTTTCACTTTCGAGAGCTCTCCGGAGGAAGTTGAAACCCTTGTTTTTTCTATATTCCATGTAGAAAACATTTTTTTACTTTTATCATGTGTCAATATCGATTGTTATACAAACTATTTATTATACTGCTCTATCTTTAAAAAAATAACTCTATGTGCACATTCCTTAGATCAAAGAGTAAGAACTTACTTTTGAGCTGACGTTTTCATTTTTAAGCATTGTAGCCAATTTTGTAACCCGCGTTCTTAATTGAGTTTTAGAGTATTGATCGACTTTTGAGCCGTGATAAAAGATTAGCCTAAACTCTTATATGCCAATTAGTGCTTAAATATTTAACTCGGGTGGGATTTTAAGCATGTGAATTATGAACATAAACAAATGGTTGCAAAATTTCTATCCCCCTTGTGTTTTTTGGCTTCCCCTTTCCTATTGGAGAATTAGATGCGAATATTGGTTCCTAATGGATAAATCCAACTTCATTATCCAACTCAAACTTTATGAAAAATGAAAAAAGAGATCTCTAATCAAAGATAGAACAAAATCCGTTTTGCATCATATCTAAGGGATTCCTCGGTTCGGACCGAAACTTTAACCAGAAAGAATTCTGTTAAGATGTAGGATACCTATCCAGAAGTTTTCGCATTCTAATTCGATCTACGAAGAAAAAATCACGCTTTGTAGGATTTGAACCTACGACATCGGGTTTTGGAGACCCACGTTCTACCGAACTGAACTAAGAGCACTTAACAAAAGACATTCCGTATGCAAAGATTCGTCATCGTCTTTCACTTTCAATGTAATGAAATCGAACATAAAATCTCGAAAAACAGGGGGAAAAAAATCTTAATTCCTCCAAATATTATCAATTGTATACCCCCAATATTCCAGAACAACCCCATTTTCTTATATATATGCAGTCTTCATTTTCCTCAAACCAAAACCCTCAATTCGACTTACTATCGATAACAATCCTACATTTCTCTCGACTTAAACTTAGTTTCTTGGTCAGTGTTGCCGTATTTTCTAGCCATTTCACGTCCCAAAACCTAAACCCTTAGCTTATTTGGTTGATTTTCTAGCAATGGAGAGAGTGAACAAAATGGTGGCAGAAAAACCAGTGGTGATCTTCAGCAAGAGTTCATGCTGCATTAGTCACACGATCAAATTACTCTTCCGTGATTTTGGTGTTAATTCTCTAGTGTATGAACTCGATGAAATTCCAAGAAGTGGAGACATTGAGCAGGCTCTGTTAAGACTCGGCTGCAATCCGTCTGTCCCAGCGGTGTTCATTGGCGGCAAATTTGTTGGCGGAGCTAATGAGATCATGAGTCTCCATCTCCAACAATCCTTAAAGCCAATGCTCAAACGGGCTGGTGCCTTATGGGTTTAATTAAAACCCTACTTCTTATATAACTGTGAATAATGCATTTTTATTGCATTATGATTAGTAGAAGTAGGATCACTTAATTATAATAACGTAATCTAGACGTATATACAGAGAGTGTGTGTCTGGGTGTTGTAGTTTTGCTAACAATGCACTGCTAAATAATAAGTTCTTCAGCTTTATTTTAAGTGAGTCTGATTATGCTTTTGACTAATAAAATAAAACTCATGTTTTGAATTAATTATTAATTGTTTGATCCTATGTTATTTTTATTGTTCCACTTCGTCCCATTTTCTAAGAATGAATTTTGTGAAAAGTGATTTAAAAGAACATGTGTAGAAAATAGTTTTGGTTTTGCATGTAATAATATTTTGTTAGGTGAATGATCGATTCAAATTGAGTTTCGAAAAAATAAATGTGCAATTTTTTTATGTAACTTTATTAGAATGAATTTTGTAAAAAGTGATTTTTTTTAGAGAGGACATTGCTACATGTACGTCAGGTGTGCATAAGAGATTACATAATATCCACGTGACACTCTATCATTTATCAATTTAAAATACAGTCAACTTTTTCATTCAATCTTTTCTCTCAACATCATTTTCGATAACCGATGTGTAGGAAAAAATTTTGATTTATTTGTAAAATTATCTTATTAGGCTAATATATGATTAAAAATGAATTTGAGAAGGAAAAAAAATGAATTTTAAAGAATGTAATATGAAGTGCTACTATGTCATTAAAAAGTTTGAATTATTGCTATTATTATACTTGTAAATTTCGATAATGCAAATTGTACATTACATAAACCTAATTTTCAAAATTATTTTACTTTATATTCTTAATTTAATGATGTTTTCACATTAAATTAATTGGAAAGTATATCTTGATCCTAAAAATATCAATCTATGAAGAAACTGTCTCTCTCTTTCGTGGCCTCTTTAATTTTGGCTAAGTCGAAGGACAGAAATGTTTTCACATTAATAGGTGGAGAGACACAATTTCTCATAAGTTTTAAAACTACTGATTTTCCATCAAATGAATTTTTCTCCCCAAAATTGACCCGTGGAGTCTGATATATATATATTTTTTTGGGTGTAAAATTTACCTTCGTTGCTTCGTGATGAGATCTCCCACAAACATGTCGTCTTCATCAATTTCAGATCTTTCATTTCATGCTGTTGTTGGCCTTTCGCTTCTCTTCATTCTGCGACCCACAATAAAATCAAGAAATATAGGTAGATCAGTTAAAAACGAAAACTTTTAAAAAATCAAAAAATCAAACAAAAGCTAGAAATAACTTAAACCAATATTAAATTAAAATAATCACCTAAAATAGTAAGACCTAGAGAATCCGAATTGTCGTTCCCACGACAATTATCTATTTAATGATTAATCTAATTATTCATATATCCTATTTGAATAAGATAAGCATTGATGGCAAGTTTTTGATTAAAAACTAAAATTAACTAGGAAAGTAAAAATAATTATATGAGCGTGTTTTCTTTGAATTGAGGACAAACCACTCGACATTATGGTTAAAACTTATGATTTTATCATAGTTATCACATTTAATCTCACTCTTCAAGTTCAATTCTTAAAGTTGTATTATATTGAATTCACCAATCAATCAATTTACTTATTATGAGTTCAATCAATCATATTTAACTGAGTCAACTCACTATATCTTTATATAAATCTGAATAAGCCTAAACTAATTGCGACAAATCACTAAGAACAATTAAAAATTATAATAATAAAAAAAGTATATCTCTACTTTTACTCAGTTGCCCATTTTACCACATGATCTAAATATATAACTTACCTCTTCATCTGTTACCATCCACAAATTATGAATCAGTATATCAAGAAAAAGAAGTAAAAACAATACATAAAATAATTAATTTTTTCAACCTTGAGAATTAAAATTGAAGGTTCAAATTGAGGTTATATCGTTCATCCCAACCAATAATTTAGTTACACATCATAGAAGAATACATACACAAGGTTTTGAAATATGTCGCCGGGGGGTTCAAAAGAAAAATAGAGAAAAAAGATTAACAAAGAATCAACATTGTTAACGCCAAGTTCTTGAAACACTAGCTTTTGTCTTCTCTATTATCTTGTATATTCATTTTTTTCACCTTGTGTATCCCACTTTTCTTGACCCAAAATAGGTATTTATATACTTAGACTGCCTTGAATCGTGTGCTCAAAAAGATTAAAATACTTACGAAAATAAAACAAAATAGAAAAATATAAATACAGGTTTGCCATGGTTGGACAACACTTTGCCTATCACGGTTGGACCACAAAGTGTTTGTATGGTTTTTGTCTAAATCTTTTGATCCCTTAATTATCGCAATTGGTCCCCAAACCTCCCTACTCATTCAAAATAGGTCCTTTTCAAGTTTCGAAAGTGTGCAAATCACTCTCCAAATTTTTCATAAATCAAATTTCACTCTCCATTAGTTTTAAATTGATTCGAACCGACTCCAATTAAACTCAAAATTTTCATGTTTGCTCCAAGTACCTCAAATTTCGATTGTACCTGCGATGAAAATGTTTTCACTAAATTAAGTAGAAAATTGCAAAATTTTAAAAATATATATCAAGTTTATAAGTACAGATAAGTGTGTAACATATACATCAGTTTTCATATTTAGAATTAAATTAAATTTTTGATAAAAAGGAAGGAGAGAATGATGAGATTAGATACCCAAAGAATAGCAGGCCGTGCAAGATTAATCTAATGAGAATTCAACAAAAGGCATCGTATATTTTCACACAATCTTTATAAAGATTTTGGCAGATAAAAAAGAAAGAAAGAAAGATATCAATGGAAAAATTAATCTGCAGCAAGTACCATAAAGCGTGTTTTGTCCACCTGCCTCTTTGCAATATGTTCTTCGACCTTTGGATCTCTCTCTCTCTCCAAATCTGGAACTGATATGTGCGATGCGAAGAACGGCCTTCGTTCTTGTTTATCTCCCGAGATTCTCTTGGATATAAAAATTGTGGAGGAAATTATAGGAAATGACTGGATAAATAGGTGCTATTTTCAAAGTGACCCTTGACTACTGTTTATTATAATAATAATAAAAAAATCGAATTTAAAGTTTAAAATTCCAAAATACCCCTCACAAAATCGACTCTCACAAAACTGACTGTCACACAAAATTGAAAATCACAAAAGATCGAAGCAAGGTTCATCCATCGCCGGCGACGTCGTGTGAAGGTAAGATTTGGTTGGTTGATTTAATATTTAGATTTTGGAGATTTTTTTCAATATTTATTTGTTTATATTAGTAAAATAGGGTTTATGTAGTCTAAGAAATTATTGGTTGGTGGAATTTGGAAGCTTTCCTCGTCGGAAATGATGATTTTCCGACTAGAAAGAATGAAGACAGCCGGAAACAGTTACTTTAGATAAGAACTGACTGTCAACAGTCAGCCCACAGTACAGTCGGCCCAATACTGTGGGCCGACTGTTAACAATTGGCCAATAAATAGTGGGCCTCACCTTTTTTTTCCAATATATATATTTTCACAAATAATTTAATAATTTAATTTTAATTTTAATTTTTTTAATTAATTGGTAAAATAAATATTAAATTATTTTTACATTTAATTTTTGTTTTAATATTTATTTTTATTTTTCATTTTTGGCAAATAATAATTTGAAATAATTGTTGGAATTTAATTTAAAATTTAATATTTATTTTTAATTTTATTATTAGTTTTTGATAAATAATATTACTTTTTTTATATTTATTTTCACAAATAATTTAATAATTTAATTTTAAAAATCTTTTTTTTTTTGCCCAATTTTTTCACAAATAATTTAATAATTTAATTTTAAAATTTTTTATTATTTGGTTTTAATAAATAATAAATTATTTAGTTTGTCAAATTTAAATAAAATTGTTACGAGTAAATTTAAATAAAATTTTTACATTTAAATTTTGTTTTAATATTTATTTTTATTTTTTCATTTTTGGTAAATAATAATTTGAAATAATTGTTGGGAAATTTTTAATTGTAATTTGAAATAACTGTTGGAAATTTAATTTAAAATTTAATTTAAAATATTTTTATTATTTGTTAAAATAAATAATAAATTATTTTTACATTTCATTTTTGTTTAAATATTTATTTTGATTTTTTCATTTTTGGTAAATAATAATTTGAAATAATTGTTGGGAAATTTGTAATTGTAATTTGAAATAATTGTTGGAAATTGAATTTAAAATTTAAAATATTTTTTTTGCCCAAATTTTTTTTTTCACAAATAATATAATAATTTAATGTTAATTTTTTATTATTATTTGGTTTTAATAAAGAATAAATGATTTAGTTTGTCGAATTTAGATAAAATTGTTACGACTAAATTTAAATAAAATTTTTACATTTTATTTTTGTTTTAATATTTATTTTTATTTTTTCATTTTTGGTAAATAATAATTTGAAATAATTGTTGGGAATTTTTTAATTGTAATTTGAAATAATTGTTGAAAATTTAATTTGAAATTTAATATTTATTTTAATTTTGTGATAATTGGGAAAAATTGATATTAGGATAATTGGGGTAATTGGGAAAAATTGACAATATTGATAATAGGATAAGAAAATCAACATTATTGATGATTTTAATTATTATGAATCTGCGTTTTGCGTATTGTAGTTACAATTTCGTCTGCTAAATTTTTTGTTATTACTATTATGACTTGTACAATGTTCTAACATTTTGAATTTGTACCGGATGGATTATCATTTTGATACAGAGTTGAGACAGATGTCAGGCAAAGCTACGTGGAATAGTAGTTTTGATAGTTTCACAGCTGTGTTAGAGCTGCTTGATGATCAGTATGCTGATATGCTGTGCCAGTCCTTCCTGTGGCCTTTGTAACCCATTAAGAGATCTGCAGTACTCGGGTCAGATTATTGATGCACTTCTATGTCGATTGTTGAGTCCAGTTGACAGCGATGCCTTCCACTTTGCAATCGGGGGGTAAAATCGCCAGTTTTTCGATGTTCGAATTTGCTCTGATCACGGGATTAAAGATTATGGGCGATGAAGTAGCTGGTGATGGGACTTAGAGAAGAAATAGGCTTCATGACGTTTACTTCGAGGGACAGGGTACTGTGCTCCTTACACAGCTGTTAGACGCAATTAGGAGGTGTGATC